GGGGGGGGGGGGGGGGGGGGTGGAGGATTGTGTGTAGTGCAGCGAAGGATTTTTGTTGACATGGCGGAATACCGTGGCTTTTGGGGAGACGGGGGAAGAGGGGGGGTGTTCTTGGGATGTTTCGATGTCACAGCGGCGGTGGAGTGGGAAGGAGTGCTGTTGGGGGAAGTCTTCTCCCACATTTCTGCACGCAAGGAGCCTAGAAAAAATAGACCAAGGGACCGCCCCATGAAGTGCCACCCAGTACGTGATGTTACTCGCACACAGGTCGAGATGGAAATGGTTCTCTCTGTTGAAGGCGGTCTTCGGGGATACGATCATTCGATGACGTCATTCGCTCTTCCATTATCGTTCACCAAGGCTTTTCGATCAGAAGCAGTTGCAGAGGGTAAGCTTGCATTCTCAATTGCATTCTCAATCCCTGTGGGAGAGGGAGGGAATGAAGAGAAGAGATTGCTCTCTCTCTCTCTCTCGTTTTGTCATCTTATGTTTTTTTTTTTTTTTCTCTCGATTTTTTTCCCCACCAATAGCCAGGAGTTTTAACTGTGTTTACAGGAATGGCTCGCGTACCTGTTTTTTCTAATTTTTTTTTTTTTTTTTTTTTTTTTTTTAAAAAAGATTTTTTTTTTTTTTTTTTTTTTTTTTAAATAATATTGGAACCCTCTCCTTTTTCGTTCAAGGCTCCTTTCTCTTATGGCCGTTAATATTGATCAATATTGATCAGAAGCAGTTGCAGAGGGTAAGCTTGCATTCTCAGTCCGTGTGGGAGAGGGAGGGAATGAAGAACGTTCTCTATGTATCTCTCTATCTCTTTGTCTGTCTGCATCTTCTTATGCTGTTTGTTTTTCTTTTATCTTTTGTTTTCCTCTCGATTTTTTTTTTTTTGGTTGAAATAAAATCCTCCTTTTTTATTCTAGGCTCCTTTTCCTCTCTCTTATGGCGTCAGGGAAGTGTGAGTAGATGATATCGTTGTAATGGGTGAACGAGTACTGAATTTTTTTTTTTCTTTTCGTCACTTGGATGGACTGCGGGGTTACCATTCATTTGTGAAAGTTCTTTTTCTTTTTTTTTTTTCATTAAATAACAAATGGATAGACTAAGGGCATACCTACCTACATTCGGACTTTTATAAATATATAAATATTTTATAGATATGCAAATATTTTATAAATATATTAATATTTTTTAAATATGTAAATACATCTGAGAAAAATTTAACAGACGGATTCGTTTGAAAATGGCCCTCGCTTGTTTCCCCCCCAAAAGTTATGGCGGTGTGTGTATCTTCCAATTTTGATAAATATTCCAAAGAAAAAGAAGAAGAAATGTATTTATAATGTGGATGTGATTTGATAATGTATTTACAGTGTGATTTGAAAATGGCACTCGCTTTTTTTCTTTTCTTTATTAATGGCTGAGCATAAGTTTTTTTCCCCTTCTTTGGTGTATTGTTTCATCAATTGCCAACTTGACAGAGAGACAAAGAAGAATAAATTTTGCAAAGAGAAAGACGGGGAAATGGACGACCGAGGGGTGACACAATAAAACAAAAAAAAAAGTTCGAGGAACCACGGTTTATGAAGTGAGGTCCTGGGCTGTCTTTCAAAAAAAAAAAGAAAAAAAAAGTGACGAGTGGAGGAAGAAACGGAAAAAAAAAGTAGTCGGAGTGATGTCGATTGAATTCTGATCGTTTTGACTTGGAAATGAATGGAAACTTTTTTTTTTTTGTTTTTTTTTTTTGTTTTTGTTTTTTTTGAATGGAAACTGAAATGAATGGAAACTAGATTGCCTTGGGCGATTGGAGCATCTGATCGGTTTGAAATGTAATGTAACGAGTCCTGATGTGAATCGCATTGGACCGATTTGATCGGCTTGGATGGAAGATCGGATCTTGATTGGATTAGATTTAGAGCGGGTCTTGATTTGATTGGATCTGGATCGGATCTTGATGGGATTCAGATTTGGGTCGGATCTTGATTGGATTAGATTGAGGTCAGGTCTTGATTGGATTAGAATTGTATTGGATCTTGATCGGATTTATGTTTGGGTCGGATCTTGATTGATCATTTGATTGGATCGGATCTGGATTGAGTAGATTTAGGTCGGGTCTTGATTGAACGAGATTCGCGTCGGATCTTGATCGAAGTAGATTGTATCGGATCTTGATTGAAGTAGATTGTATCGGATCTTGATTGAAGTAGATTGTTTCGGATCTTGATTGAAGTAGACTGTATCGGATCTTGATTGAAGTAGATTGTATCGGATCTTGATTGGATTAGATTTGGGTTTGGATCGGATCTTGATTGGATTGGATCTTCGATTGGGCTGGATCTTGATTCGATTGGATTTTGATAGCATCGGATCTAATCAGAGTCCAAATTCCATCGGATCCTGATCAGATCGCATCCAGATGACATTGGATTCTCCTCTGATTGATTGCATTCTTATGGGAGCAGATCCTGGAGGCTGGATGTCATCAAAGCGTGAATTTCTTTCTTCTTTTGCAGAGATTGAGTCACTGTATTGAACATGGAATACCACCCTGAAGAGTACAAGGCTTCGGCTCGGCTGAAAATCGGCCTAGGAAGACGGATGGCCACTGCAAAGTTTGAGTCACTTTATTGGCTTCCCTACGCCGAATAAAGGCCAAGCCTTGGGTCCAGCGTCCTCAACTCTGAAGAGGGCCAATCTTCCCAAGGCTTGGCCTTATTCGGCGTAGGAAGACGGATGGCCACGTCCTTGAAACTGAAATGACTTTGGTGGGTGGGCAGGATCTATCCTGGGACCCAAGAGCCTAGCTCAGTGGGTACACCCATGAACTGTTGAAATACGGACCTGTGTTCGAATCCAGATGATGGAACTTGACGAGTAGACGAGTAAAACCAACTACTAATGAATTGCTTGGGGCCGGTCAGCTCAATGATAATATCTCAAGGCCGTCGCCCTTCTTTTAAAAAAAAAAAAAAAGAAGGATCTACCCTGGGGGCTTCCACTGGCTTTGGGTTTTCCGCCGGCTTTGGTAACCACCGACTTGGGTGACCACCGGCTTTGTAACCAGTGGGTTGGTACCGGGCCACCGCCTTCGGATTGCCACTGGGCTGGGAGTGCCACCGGCTTGGGATTACAACCGGCCTCGGAGTGCCACCGGCTTGGGTTACCGCCGGCTTCGGTTACCATCAGTGGGTGGTACCGGCTTGGGGTTACCACCAGCTTGGGTTACCATCGGCTTGGGTTTACCATAGGGCCCTTGGGATTACCACCGGCTGTGGGATTACCACCGGCTTGGTTCACCGAAGTCTTCGGTTACCGGCTTCGGAGGCTGGTCGAAGCTGGTACCAATCCCGCTGGCGGTAACGAACCCGGTGGTAATCGCACGGCGGGGGGTACTCCCAAGCCGGTGGTCTGGGAACCCGGTAACAACCGTCCGATTAACCGCCATGGTTGCTTCCTAGCCGGGGTGGAATGGTGGCCCAGGGGGAGGAATGGTGGCAGCCTGGGAGGTGATAGGGCCTGCGCGGGGCTGGCTGTACCGGGGGCGTCTAGGGGGATTACTGATGGCACGCCCTGGCGGTGGTGGACCGACTGAGACGATAACCAACACTGAACACATGCTCGCCTTCACAGCGGCGCAGGTAGATAGGTACATACGGTATGTATGTGTTAATCCCCAGGCATTAATATATGTTAACTGTGAATATTCAGTCATTCATGCGTCAATCTGTATGTACGTATGTGATATGGGTACATAATATGCACGCATGCACACACAATCACATACATTCAACCCCTCTCCCCCCCCCCCCCCCCCC